CTCCAAACTTTAGCAATTCTTTTAAAACATGAAAGCTGGGTACGCTTTTTGCCCAAAGCTCTCTTTACTGTTTCATTATTTGGCGTTTAGTGCCTAGCTCAATCTCCAAACTTCAGCCAAATGTTTTGGGCCAGCCTGCCATGGACAGCTTCTCTCCCGCGACCCAGTAGAGAGACCTACCATGCTTTTCCCCTCTGTTCCTCTGACGATTCCACTGTGCTTCTCCAACTTACCTCCTCTTCGCAGCACCACCGCCCACGCACAGCTACTTGGACACGGCATCAGCCATTGATTGTACGGAACCAGCAACAACTCCACTGTGCATTGGGAGAAGAGTTGTCATCTCTGGTTTCCAGGCTTTTGAAATGAGCTTTGGTTTCCAGGCTTTTGAAAAGAGTTGTCAACTCCACTGTGCAATCCCTTCACCTTCCCTCTTTTTCTGCCAACCACCTCTCCCTGATAAATCTATCTCCTCTCATACTCTCACTATCCTTTCCTGTTACATTGTTGCTGACAAAATCATCCATTCATCCCATCAGTTGTTTCACCCATCTCCTTGCTTTCCAATTATCTAACCTAGCACCCCCTAACTCCCATCCATATCCCAACCTTTTCGTTCTTCCTCTCTCTTCGACTCCAGCCGTTAGGCAAAAGTCAGAGTCAGCGACGGTGAGAATCCTCCATTTGCACCAGGGAAGACCAACTGCAAGGATCATTGATTTTTTCCGCAGGTGATTGACGAAAATTTGCTCGCTAGAAAAGAGCCAAACAAAATCGTTGCTTTTAGCTCCCGTTGATTTTGGCCGCAACATACATGGATTCGCTTCGCTCTCTCTGGTCGAGGTCCACAGCAGCAGCTCCGACGCGGAAGGTCACGACGAGGAGAAGATTGATGACGACAACGAAGGTGTCGGCCTTTCGCAAATAGCTATCGGTACGATTTTCACTTCATACTACCGATTTTTGCTTGCTTGCCTAGACTTTTGTTTCCTCTCTTTTCTCCATATATAGGCCACTGAAGTTTTCAATGATCTGGTGGCTGTTTAATGTCCTAGCCTGTCGTGTTTGTCTCTCAGTTCTGGGCTTAATTCATCACCAAATTTCAGTGAGGGGCGGACAGAGATATACAAAAAGAGGTGCGTTCAAATTAGTTCCCAGAAGAAGGGGAACAAGAATAGCCTGAATGTCAATCTTATTTTTCCTTCTCTATTGATTTTCTCGATCTAACTCACTGATTCATTTATTTTTACATTCTATGAGACTTAGTGTGCTTGCCTTTGCTATATTGTTGTTTCAGTTAAACAAAATCACCATCCTTGCTGCTTAGAATGGGGTTCAAGAGGAGGCATGATCTCTCTGCAGTTAAAAGTTTCAGAAGCTTTTCTGAATTGCTTGGGTTTCATGGATCTGTTCGCTTCGCCTCTCATCCTTGGACCTTACAGCTTCCATATGAAACTAATTTTGTTCACCATCAGTACTTGCCAATTCCAGTCCATTCCACAAACCTTTGAAACTCTTCAAGTAAGTGCTATTAATTTTAATTATATATTGTACTTATTTTTAGCAATGCTCTTTCCTATTGTGATTTTATTTCATGAGTAACTAAAGCCTTTAAATTAAGAGGATACTTATATTTCCGTACAGATAGATGCTAACCACATCCGTGTAGAGCAGAGGAGGCTGCACTCTGCAGGGAAGGTAGGAGGATCTTCATCATCGCCAAACTGCTATTTTGTTATTTTGTAGTGTGAATTGCCTTTGATTAGATATGGATACTTCGTTATTTTGTTAGCAGTGCAAACTGCGCTGGAAGAGATGGTTGTGCAGATAGTTCTGTGCTTTAATCCCCTCTGGGTTTGGATGTAAATTGACCTTTATTGTGGGTTACTGACTTACTGTGGAGCTAGATTCCTTGGCCAACTGCAGCGAACCCGCACGTAACAAACCAGACAGTACCGAGGTAGTCATTGTTAACTGGTGGTAGAGGTCAAAACCTCCAAATCAAGTATCGTTTAAGCTTCTATACTTAAGTGTTTCCTTTGCTCGAAGATCATATGTTATACTGATTGAGTTGCTGCTAGAAGAGAGGATCTTTTCGGTTGCCCTTATTCATCCATCTAAGTGTCTTTTCTTTATTTTGGTTTATATTTGTTCAAAATTCTCTAGGTAATTTGATGTGTTTCCTTGCTAAGTTTTAGTCACATATGTGCCAACCTATCTATACTTGCTATTTCACAGCTACATATTTACAATTAAACTCATATTATTTATAGGTAATTCATCAATCAAATTAAACCATCTCTTCATGCTCGAATCATCAGTTCAACTATCATCATGTAAAAAGCATTTAAAGTAAGATTTAATGATTATATGATCAAGAAATAATCCACTCATGTTCAAAATAGTTTGCGCTAATATTGGCTCCTCCATATGCAAAGTTGGTATCAGCCACGTTACTTTCTAGCTTTGTATTTTAGTGCCTTTTATAATTTAAAAGGTATACAAATTATTAGAGAAATTTTCAATATTAAGAGGATGCGACTTCAGGGCCAAAATAGTGCATTGTGTTCCTAATTCTTGCGTTGAGAAAACAAGTTATTTGTTTGCTTTTGGAACCTGTAGTTGCATACATGAGAGTGGTCACAATAACCAATTAACCATAGTGGTGATTGCCAAAAGCAAGGACTTCAACAAGAAACATAAGCTTGGTGAAATGGCTATGCAGGGTGGAAGAGCACCTTCACAATCCATGAGGTATTTAATCCCTTCAAATTAGATTGCAGTTCCTCTAACAACCTCCGTACTAAGTAAATTAGACTTTAATTTGTGTTCTGCTGTGTAATGATATATTAGTGCTTGAATGAAATTGTCGTTGATCTGGCAAGAATGAAGTGCCAAAATCATTAACATTCCTTTCAATTATAGCCATTCAGTTCTATGAACTACATTTGCACAAACTGGTAGTTTCTTTTTCAAGGTTATGATTTGAGACTTTGGACCATACATTACATCTTAAGTTTCAGTTATATAAGAAGCCATACATCTTTGATGATTATTTGATGTGAAAACAGTTTTTATTGTTGTACATTTAAACAAATTAGAGGTTGATCGGGTCCGTGTTGTTTCTCTAAGGTTTGCTTTCCCTTTACCTTGCTATTTAGACTAGAGTTTGAACTTGAAGACTGAATTCTCTACTCTCTATCTGTTTAATAGGGGCGGTGGGAGTCCTGTCACTGGTACTTGGAGTTGGGTGTCTCAAATTCTTAAATGACCTAAATTGTCGTCTGACTTGCTTAATTTAGAAGGAACTAACGACAGATTGTAAAAATCCAGCATTATTGGTTGAACATACATTGTAGAGATTTCGAGAAGCAAAGCAATCAACCATTTATAGTCTCCTACATGGAGAGGGTCAAATTGATTACAAAAAACAGCTGGAAACAAGATGGTGCATAGAGCGGATATTAAAAGAAACTAGGGAATTGCAACTGGAGAGCAACTCCATTCAACAATACAGTCCAATTGCCAATCAGATCAGGTGGTGGGAATGGAAGCTTGATTTGATGTAAAGTGTCATCTTGGATAGTCATAATCAATGGATATATACTGCTGGGGATCACGTTGGCTAAGACATCTAATGTTATAGTATTTTAGTTCCTATTACAGATAAAGTTATTGCAATTAGCACTTTTCAGCTTTGGCAAATGTGTTTTAAACATTGTTGTGTTCAATCCAATCAGTGATTCTACTTAGATTACTACAGAGTGTGATCTTTGTAGATTAGATAGTGAACTGCAAACAAATTTGATAGTTACAGGTTTCTTTCATACTTCAGGTTGCTGCAGAATCAGAAAGCGACGTTACCAAAATAGAGGTTGCAATTCTGTTTTCTTTACCCTACTGGTGTGAAATGGGATTTCTTCCGCCTATATATATCATTCATTTACCGCTGTTGAACTACAAATAGGTGTTTGAACTTTTAAGTTGTAAATTCTGGATTTAGTATTGCCTGATGTATAGCTATTCTTGGCTGCTGCAGTTTGCAGGTGTTATGTTTGAATGAGTTTCTATGCAGGTATCCTATGCCAAACTTCAAGTAACATTTAGTTCATTTATGCTTAGAGATGATTAGTAGACTCTTCTTCTATCATTCTTGCCTTGCGTAAATCTTATAAGATGTATTCATTTACACCGTCTGGAAACTTAGAAGGGTGTATCACCCATATCCATATCGGAAGTTTTGTCACTGATGGTTGCCTACCATTCTTATTTAATTATGTTGGTCCCTTTTCTTTCAATGGAAGATAACCATCCAAACCTAGAACCACCATCTATTCGTGCATGAATCATTCAAAATGTATATAATTTCTAACGATTTCTGTTATGATTATGCTGTTTTTGCATATGCTAAACACGATTAAATTTCCCGCGGCGTAGCCGTGGGTATTGATTCTAGTCGTAGATAAAGATAAACAAAACACAAGAACAAAAAGTATCATACCTAAGAGCCAGCCTGTCAAGGTATGTTTCACGGTTTACAGGTGTCCATTTAGGGAACTGATCCAATATCCAAGATATTGCAAACCAGATCTTACATATTACTGACACTAGCCACAGAGGAAAGGCATTCTTCACCGGATTTGTAATTCGGTAGTGCAGGAAAATACAGAGGATGATAAGCCGCAAAACTATGACCATCCTGTACGGGTTAATCTTAGAAGATGAAATGAAAACCTTCCTTGACAAAGGTTGGCGGGCTTCATCATTGCTTAAAGGAACCAAGAGACAAGGAAATAGGCATTCGACATTATTGTGCTTTGCAAAAAATTTACAGATATTGATAGGTGGGTGTGGCCATCAAAATCCCTCAGAATAACTAGCATGATGGTAATATAAAAGCCACCCGAACACAGTAGGAAATTTTCCCAAGCAAATGAAAACCATTATGCACACTTCCAACATGCTTAACAATGGGCTAGAAGGAAGCTTGCATTGATTCCCCATAATAAACAGTAGATAAGGCATGATTCACCAGAACTTACAGCAGAGACTCATCCACCATAATATCCGTGCTAGCATCGATATCTCCAACACCTCTTTCTAAAGGAGCTTGGCTACTGCTCATAGGAACAACAGTCTTTTCCTGCTTCATCTTCCAGCCATCAACTCGCTCTTTCCATGCTACGTTTCCCAATCCTCGGGAAGGGAACTCCCTGGACTGCTCAGCACTCCTGATATTAGCTGCGAAAGTAGGATGATCCAAAATGTAAACGGTTGCGATCCGATTTACAGGCATTACACGGAAACAGCAGAAAAGCTACAATATAAAGGGCGCTCACGTGATTGATCGGCATCTGCTGCATAAGACAGAGTATGGATGTGCTTTCCATTACCATGACCAGGAGATGCCATAGACGCATGCTCAGGTGATGCAGCAGAAAATTCACCAGACACCTAAAGATAGAAGGGTATGAACATTAAATCGGAATCACCATGAAAATAGCGACAGCACCTTCAAGAACTCGAATAAGTAGTGGTATTACCTACCTCCTGCCCACGGGTTAACAGAGGAACACGGGTGGCAAGAGCTTCTTTATCATAACTCGGTGACCCGGCATCCTCTCCCCGTCCAATGCGCCAGCTCAGCATGTGCTCTGACATCTTCTGTTTCTGGTTCTGCTTTTCAGAAGAGTAGTTGATGTCACTAGCACTTTCATCAGCGTCGTCGGCGTACTCATCTCTGTCACCAGCATTGGCAGGACTACCTGAAAACGTCAAGAAAATTCATCCTAGAGCGGCTCTGTATCAACAGCATCATCAACCAAAAGAGAAGTACAACACATGTTGATGATGAAATTGAGGCATAATGATAAACCTCTGTGTCTCTTGTATCTAGTTTTGCATTGAGGGCAAGCCTTAGTCCCGTGATTCCTCTCATACTCGTAGCATAGTCTACACACCGGAAGTCCACAAACATCACAGGCAACAAATGGATCACCACTCACAGTCTTGCCAATATTGTCGCCACAAATCTGGCAGACCCCAGCAACATTCTTCATGGGCTTTACCTGCGTAACCAGCCATCCTCAGAAACCAAACTAACAAAAAAAAACTATTCAAACACCATCCTTCATCTATCAACGGACTAGAGACACCAATCTACTTGGATAAGTAAACACATCCCTTCGTATGTGAAAAAAGCACTAGGAAGTGAATTACACAGTAGAGGTTAGTTACTCCGCAAACCAAAATTGAACATACATCCATTCCATGAAATACACGCTTACCCCACTTTCATCCTCGGATTCCATCGAAACCTACTCTTGGTTGCCCTGATGTGCCCAATGGACTGAGGCTCACCAAAACACAAGCATGCCGAGTTACAACAGAGGACACGGGGAAGAATGTTCTTCTCGTTAAAAATCTACACAAGAGTAGGGGAGAGAGAGCATAGATCAGTCTCCTCTTCTACAAAAAACTGTCACCACTTACTACACAGGAAACCTAGAGTGACAAACACCGCTACATGTGAAATTTTTTCTTATTTTATCTATCAGCAGTTCAGCATGCACATGTCAGAGGTTTTAAATGTTGAGAATATTAATTATTTAGTCAAAAATAATTAATTTCTTGTCCTCCAAGTCCCTTGTTTCCTTGTCCTTGTCAAAGACGGAAACTTGGTTGTCGTTAGGGTTTTAACCCTAGTCTATCTCTATATAAGACTTAGCTACGAACCTGTCGTAAGCAAGCCGTCAAGATGTAGTCCTCAAATAATAAAACGTCAGCCGTGAGCTCTTCCGAGCTCGCCGTGGATTAGTCTTGATCAATCGATCGAGGATACCACGTAAAATCTCGTGTTTTTTGTGTTCGTTTCAATTCCGCATCAACAAATTCTACATGGTATCAGAGCAAACCTCGATCTACCAGGGTTTTGCAATCTTCCGCAGTCTTTTTACGAGATCAACCTACGTCTATTTCCGCCGCCATGAGTACCGAGGGAATTGCCCATAGCTGGTCCAATGCAATTCTCGTCCGGATCGTCACTTGTCTCCTGCTGCTCAGATGTTCTTCGTCTCAACGAAGCTTTCCGCATCCCAAGTCCCGTTCATTGAAGACAGACGAGGTGCAGCAAGCAAAGTCCCTCCCGCCGTCGCGTCTTGCTTCCTTTTCGCAGCCGATGTCCACTCCGGCTTCGACTCTGTACCGTCGCCGTGGAGAACGAGATCCCCAGCTCCGCCATCAGATCTTGGCCAAGGTGCCATCACCGTTGCCACCGCCGTCAACTTCTGATGGCCATCGTCGTCATCTGTGTTGTCGTTTGGTCAATTAAAGATTGGAGATCGGTTGGTGAGTGCCCGCCTTGTGTTCAATTGGTGGGCATCCAGCTTATGTATTTTACCTCAGTCCTTGCCACCGGCGGATATGTCTATACAGGTCCAATTGCGGTCACGCCTCTCTCTCTCCAAGTCATGGTCTCCATTCTTTTGTTCCATCAACCATAAGCTTATGTTGTTAAGGAAGAAGAAATCTTGTTCCTTCCGTTCCTTGGATAGGGTCTGTGAATTCGTTGGGAAGTTTGGGACACAACTTGGTGGGAGTTCGTTGCGGCAAAGGAATCATATGATCATCTCAGGTTCCTGCTTATGTTCATCGTCGCGATTCAAACGGGATTTTCAGCTGGTATCATCTAAAGTTCGTCTCTGGTGCTTTGGTCGGCCTTAGCCGCCTTCGTCTTGTGCCAGTCCCGTGATTCATATTCCGATATCGACAGTGAGTCCGCAACAACCTGGAGCATGTCCGGTCGTCACCAGTCAATTCCACCCGCTTGCATGTTTACGAAGACCTTGCTCGGGCTTCACTCCAGAAGACAATTATCGACCACGGTGTATCAGTCAAGAAGGTTCTCCAGTCTTGTTCAAGAGAGACGATAGTCAGAAGTCTCTCAATCTGTCTCATTCAAGAGAGGCGCAGTCAACAGCCACTCGGTCAATCTCATCCAGGTAGAGGCGCAGTCAACCGCCTCCACCACATCGTTCGGATAGACGTAGTCAATCGTCTCCGTCAAGTCATTCAAGAGACGCATTCAACCGTCTCTGTCAAGTCGTTCAAGAGGCGCAGTCAACCGTCTCTGTCACGACGTTCAAGAAGACGTAGTCAACCATCTTCATAAGGTTGTTCAAGGGAGAGAGTCAGTCGTCTCCAAATCAACTTCGTCCGAGAGATTATTCATCTCGAGTTTTGTTGTTCAAGCTTGTCATGCTTGTTCGTCACATTTCCTTTTTCAAGCTCGACATTCTTTTCATTCATGTCTTCGCTTGAGGGGGAGTGTTGAGAATATTAATTATTTAGTCAAAAATAATTAATTTCTTGTCCTCCAAGTCCCTTGTTTCCTTGTCCTTGTCAAAGACGGAAACTTGGTCGTCGTTAGGGTTTTAACCCTAGTCTATCTCTATATAAGACTTAGCTACGAACCTGTCGTAAGCAAGCCGTCAAGATGTAGTCCTCACATAATAAAACGTCAGTCGTGAGCTCTTCCGAGCTCGCCGTAGATTAGTCTTGATCAATCGATCGAGGATACCACGTAAAATCTCGTGTTTTCTGTGTTCGTTTCAATTCCGCATCATCAAATTCTACATTAAAGGTACACACAAAGCCAGATTGCTCTCCTCGTGTTTCCTCAGTAGTCCGAACAAAGTCGCATAGTAAATTCCACCCATCTACTCAACAAATGGCTCATCGATTTCACATCATAATCTTTCAACACAAGAATTGGTCATTGGTAAAACGCGGAAAGATACAATCAAGAGAAAATAAGATAATCCCACACGGGAACAACTTATCGGCTACCCAATACAGCACCCAAGACACCATAACAACACCCATTTACTTTCAGGAAACAAGAGCGAAGCGGGGACATCCAGCCTCCTTTTCATCGCAAAAACACTCAAGAAGACAACAGATAGGCCAAACAAAAAGTGGAACTTACGGCAAGGACCCAAAACCGGAAGCTCGACGTGAACGGAGAAAAAGGATTGTGAGGGCCGAAAGGGAGTGATCGGAAGCAGGGGAGAGCAATGGAGGCCAGATAGGCTGTCTCTTTCCCCTTCCTCCGGCTGGCATGAGAGTGAAGAAGGAAGGAGAAGCAGACAAGTATAAATGAAGGCGCAATAACAATAATGAAGAGTCGACTGGCCGGGAGGGAAGAGTGTATAGCTGGAGATGAGTGAGCATACCAAAAACGGAGAAAAGAAGGGAAAGTTTGTCTGGCCTGGTTGAGACGAAAACGACACACCATTACACCAACAATGGGCGACACCTGGTGTTTGAGTTGAGTATGACTGAAATGTGGGAGAAAGAGAAGAAATCTATTCTCTCCTCCTCCACCGCGTCTCAGGAAACAATGTGGTAGATATTTTATTTTCTGTTTTGTTGGGTCGCGCCGTCGCGGGCGGCTCTATCTAGGAGAACATAAACAGGTAGTCTTTTTTTCTTCTTCTTCTTTATAATGATAAACAGGTAATCTTGGATCATACATTCACCCCACCCATATCCCAATCATTTGTGCGCTCTGGATATGCGTAAATTAGAAGGGAAGGAAATGAAAAGTCATGAGTTTTTAATAATACAAGGGGTTTCTAAAGGAGATACATTCTATTAGTAAAATATACTTATATAGTCAAAAATTTCGTGTTTGTTACGATTATAGTCAATTTTGGAGAAATATCACTTATAGACAAATTTTCTTTTTGTTATATGATAAATATAACCATTTCCTTTAGATACTTTAACGGTGTTAGTAACACCATCAACTTTTTCGACAGTTTGTTGACTAGGCTTCCACTCAGCGTACATGTAAGCGCCAACTCAGCCCCATGTGACAGGTAGATGTCATGTCATATTTTACTTTAGAATTATGTTTTTATTTTTTATTGTTTTCATCTTATACCCCACTTAACTTTGAGTTTGGCCACGGTGCTTCTTCTCCCCTGTATTTTCCAATTTCATTCTACGGTTCCGTCCTCCGCTCCTCCTTCAATTGCTTTTCCCAGAACACCTTCAATCGTCCATAGCATTGGAATTCCACCTCCATCTTTCCACGATGGATGGGTCCAGAATTTGGATAAGCTCGCTTAGGATTTCTCACTGATGAAGGAGGCCCGCCAGTGAAACGGAAGACATAGAACACCACATGGGAATGCGTCCTCGGTAATCTGCGCCCTCATCTCTGTATGTCGCGGTGTTAGATGTGGAAATCGCTCCCACGCCCGGAGTTGCAGTAAGGGGACTCATCCACCAAGGTCACCTCCCAGGGAAGAGGAATGTGTAATGTGCAAAACCGACCTACCCATCTCACGGTATAGGTAGACTAAAACAGCTGCTCCCCAGGCGAATCGTCCAACTCTCTGTCAATCCTCCACCAAAAGTAGGTACTGTAGATGAACCGTAGCTCCAGACCGATCCGGGAACAATACACCTCCCATCAAAGATACAACATAGGCTCGTGCAAACTGCTTTGTAGTCTCCCGTGATGCATTTTCCGAAAGATGATTGAATTCGTCCCAGAGCCAACCAATCCTAACGACACCGCCAGGAAAGATCATCAGGAACCCGTCCTAACAGTCTCACACATATCTCCGACCACTCCTCATCTGGTATGTCTACTACGATGGCATCACCGTCGATCGCTGGACCAATAAGTGTCACAACGTCCTCTAAAGTAATCGTGACTTCACCAAACGACAAGTGGAAGGTCGACATCTCGGGTCACCAACGCTCTACGAGCGTAGTAATCAAACTTGCATCAGCACTCATAGGGACCAGGGGCAAACACTAGACAAGCCCGCCTATCCGAGATACGTCAGATAATGTTCATGGTACGTGACTAAATTGGTTATACCTCGAACATGGTAAGGTCGATCACCAACCTATAGTGCACAAAACTTATATTAATTCAATTGCATGCGTAATTCTAATTTCACCTAGTAAAATTTATCTAATATCGACTTATACCTACGTAGTTGGGAGGAAGAAGAGTGGGGATCGGTTAGCTTGCTAACCCCTCTATGTGGTTGGAAAAATGACACCCCCTATTAATTATAGTATTAAATTCGTGTTGCATTTAATAATCTTTGAGAATTAAAAACTCATATTAATTACATTCCTTTTTTTTTACTATTATTGCACTGATACAACTATTATTACACTGATACAACTATCATTGCACTTATACACTGAAGTAATATTAACTACATTTCTTTTTTTGAACTACCATTGCACCTATACACTGATATTATTGCACTGTAGAACTACCATTGCATTGAAAAAAGAAAGTAATTAATATGAGTTTTTAATTCATATAGATTATTAAATGCAACACAAATCAATTACCTTAAAAGCCTATAATTAATAGGAGGTGTCTTTTTTTCAACCCATTTAGGGTAGTCATGCTATCTCATCCTAGAAGAGTGCGTTGGACTTTTTTTTTTTGACACTATGATGTTCATTAATACGACTGGGCTAAGCCCACAAAAGGAGTGGTACAAGCGAACCAACCAAGCAAAGGGCTGGAAGAACCTCAACACAAAACAGGCCAATAGAAAAACCCAAAAACACAATAGGGCCCCAGGCCCATGGCCAAAACAAAGCTGAGCCCCCCAAACCCTAGTCATCAGCGCCCTCTCTGTCAACCTCCACCGCCGCGGCCGAGAACCCCCACCGCACCGACGCGCCACCGACCCATCGAAGAGCACATCGCGGCCAGGACCTCAACCAACCCAGAAGACGAGAGGAGGAGGAAAACACCTCCGGCCAGCACACCCCGAGCCGACCACCGCCTGCAACCCACCGCCACGCCAAGGGAAACAGAACAATCGGATGGTCGGCAGAAGAGACAGAGAGTTAGAATACCACTGTCTTCAAGCTCTCCCAACCGGATCCACGCCAAGGGCTGCATCTCCGACTAGCCAAGATCTGCAAGGCAAAGACAAGGAGGTAGACCAAAGGAGGGGGGAGGAGAAGACAAGTCTGGTCTGCGTCAGATCAGACCTCATCGCATCAAGAACCGGGCAACACATCTTCGGATCTGGAAACCAAATCGAAGGACAAAACATCATCTCACAGAGGGGGCAAGAACAGAACCCACACAGGGGGAAAGATGTCAAACAAAGGCAGGAAAACAGAGCTCGAGAGCAAGAAAAAAAGAAAAGGAAAGCGAAAAGGAAACTTAGAGGGGTGGAGGGCTGCCGCCGGCCGCCGGAGGAGCGCCGGCAGCAGCCCCCATGGAAGCCTGGCCAAAGTTGTTAGATAGAAGGGAGAGAATTTGAAAAGCAAGAGAGAGAGAGGAGCTGAGATGGAAACTGACACGCGTTGGACTTGATGGAGGGTATTTTTCTTCTTTTTATAATATTTAATTTCTAAATCAACAATGCTGCTTCAATTATAGTTGATTTTTTAATTCTCTTATGTTTTAAAATTATAAATCGAAAGTGGTCCAATTTTTAATTCTTTTATTTTTCAAAATTATAAATCGAAAGTGGTCCAACATGACTTGTGATGTGACCAATAACTGTAACGGATTATTAGCCATATCTTGACCCGCAACAATAGTTTTGGCTAATAAATAGTATTTTCATAATTGTGGCTACTGCTTAATAATTTATTGCATTTATTTACCCTAGCTTCTTTGCCACGGCAGTCTGCATCAGCAATTGTCTATAAGAAAACACCGAGGGTTTGTTACTTCTACCATCCATGATACATAAATGATAAAACATTGGCGGCGAATTTTACATAGGCCAACGAAATTAGAAATATTACACTCTTTCTATAGCGTTGCTTCTTTCCAGAGCCTTACTTCTCACATCACGAGGGTTCTCTAATCCAATGAAATTAGCACCTATGAAATCAAGGTTTTCGTTGTGGACGCATCATGCACAAGGGTGGCTATAGAAACAATCCGTCAAGGAACTCATTAAAGCTGTCATCATCGTCATGGTCGATCCTTGAAGCAGAGGCCTTGTTACCTGATTGTGAAAACAGAGGCTTTTATTAGTTCAATGGTTCTCGGTTAAACGTTAAGTTGAACATGTAGAATATTTTTTCCTTTCAAAAATGGTTGGACACATCAAAGACCATTGTATTCTATTTCTTCTTTACCCTACCTTTTCTCCTCTTCTCTTTGCTACGATCCTCGTCGTCGCTGCCTGAATGGTCGTCATTACAGTATCGTTCCCTGAGATCATGGGTCAGTTAGACGCCCAACATAAAGGTGGAAGGGAGTTGGTGGGCAGAATTGAGAGAGCTTTGACAAGAGGACTGCTAATACATAGAAGATTTGAGGGGGGAGAGAGACTTTGTACAATTTATACCTCTTTCTTTTCTGCTCTTCTTTCTCCTTCTCCAGTTTTTCTTTTTCTTTTCTGTTTCTGTAATTAAGCTTCCCTGCACACCTAAAACCCAGAGAACCAAAATGGAAAATCAATAAGAAGCCCAGGCCTCTAGTTCTACCAGTTGCACTCCCGGACATCAAAATAATAAGGTGCAGCCTAACATCCCTAGTACTCTTCTTTTCTTCTGTCTTCTATCTCATTTTCGCTTGGCGCTTAATTAGTCATGGCAATCTATAGAGGCAACTCTTTGCTTGATCTTAGACAGTAAACTAGTCTGCAATCCTCTCAGAGTAAGATTGATATACAGGGTACTGTGCAAGCAGTAGACATTCTTCATGTATACTTACTTTTCACATGCCACCAACTTCACAAGCGCTTGCTTATTTTCTCCAGCTTCAAAATAAGAAAAGTTCACCTGCAATATTTCAGCCAAAATAAGTACACACGGAACTGATAAACTGTAAACAAGTATAAGTAGACATAAGAAACAACATTATGATATCAATATATCAAGCATCATGGATTTTACTACAACCAAGACCGGAGAACAAATGCTAGCAAAGCCTGTTTCAGAACTGATTATAGGAAGGCTTTATGCAAGTACCACCAAACAATCATTAAGTTTATATGCTACAATCACACTCACATGGCACTACCAGCAGCTTAGCATCGAAATACTTGCCTCATAGCTCGCCAGGACCTTTTCCTCATTACAATGTTTGCTACCACATTTGAACTGCCCTGACAGTTTTAAAACAAAGTCAAATTCTCTTTTCTGAACAAATAAGTTGTAAGGAGTAACTACAATGGGCAGAAGAAAAGGGATGCAGAATGCAGAGATTTCTTGGAAGAAAGTTGGATAAGATAAGCCAATAATATTACCTTTACCAGAAATGACTTCCTTTTCAGTTCTCCATCTCAAACCAATCTAAAACAAGAACTTCAAAAGTTATAAACAACGAACTGAATTTAGGAAAATTCTGAATTGAGTCTGCAGTTTTCCAAACAGTGAGCAGAAGGGCATATACATGTCTTGAAAATGATAGTCAAACATATAAGTATGACAAACCAATTCATAGAAATCCTGGAGGCGAGGAAGGAATAACCAGAAGAGAAGATTACTCCTGTAGATCAAAATATCTAAAACATGTAACTAGCTTCACCTCGAAAGCAGTGTCCATACTTCTATGCAGACTCTACATACATACCTTGCCACTCTTGTACAACGACATGTCAGCTATGCAGTATCTTCAAAATGGAATTAAGGAAATCAATAATGCCTTATGATAATTTCAGATAATCTTGAAACAAGAAATAAAAATCTATTTCAGTCAACTGAATAACAAAATTTATTGAAACGAATTACAATCTTTTTATCCAAGGATACTCCTTGAAAAGCTTGTCATAATAACGCTTCACTAGCCTTTGCTCCCAGGACGTATACATGTCATCTTCCTCACTACGTATAAACCTAAGTGTGTCGAATACATAAAAGTTGGAAAAATATCAAATAGAGACTGGAGAAAAGAAAAACCATATAATGGTTAAAACTGATCTTCATCGCCAATTAGAGGATAGTGGGAAAATTGGAAAATGGAATAACTGCACAATGCATTTTCTTCCTTCTCAAGTAAGTATTGCAATACGGCTATCAAAAAAAAAAGTAAGTATTGCAATACAAACAAATGAAATATAGCACAGCCAGGAAATGCATATTTTACATCTTTCTTCACCGAAGTATCCCAGAAACTATGCCAACTTCTTGTGCACTTATTTAGTAATCAAGTACCAAGATAACATTCCCCCCTTAGAAGTGGGGAAGAAAATTTCAAGTGGTGCGGTCTTCTTCAATACAGTTCATTTTAATCTTAAGAAACAAGAATGCAGGAAAGAAAGAACAGTTGAAAACAAAGAGCAACCACAGATGATCGAAAGAAGGAAAATCTCTAATTTAAATGCATACAATCAACATGCAAAGTCAGATCAAGCATTTAAAGTAACCCAGCTAGTGTGTTACATGTAAACCATACTAAGACCTACTCGTATACCAAAAATGACGTGGGGAGGAAAGAACATACCGGTAACCTTCTCTTATAGTGTCCTGATCCGTCTTAACAGGCAAGTTGACATTGTCGGACCTTTCTTTCCCGTAGAATCTGACTGCAAACAATAAACACCGGCTTTAAAATAATCAAACCGAAGACTGACAAGAAGATTATCAAAGCACACAGCAGGATCCACCGGCAACAGAAAAATAATGTAAGGATGACTGTAGCCTCCTTCCTTTCTTAGAGGAGGAGAATGTTCATCATCCTAACTTTGCTTTAGGACATAAGTATAGTACACATGTAGCTCTTAAATCTGCATATTTTCAGCTTATGTCCACATCAAACCCAGAAGCATAAGGGGAAAATAAGAAAGAGTGAAGAAGTACCAAAACGAGTGGAAAAGGTTTTGTGTTCAGGGAGGCCCTTGCTTCATCCCTTCGAACAAATCCCATTTTGCAGGAGCAAGATAATACCTAATCTCCAAATCCGCAAATGCAATTTCCGCACTAAAACCCTAACCCTAATTTGAAATGCACGAAAGGGGCGAAAGCAAGAGGTCTGCTCAGAAGTGCAAAGGGGAAATCCTACCGTAATCATTCAGGAACTTCTTGTGCCGATCGTAGGCGTTGAGACCTCGGACATGAGCTTGGTATTGCCTGCAACGGAGGGATTAGCAGGGGGAAATCTCAAAACTTTCTAGGAAAAAGACAGCGGTAACAGAGGGAAAGAAAAGGAGGAGGAGAACATACTGTTTTCGAGCTTCCCGATCGAAGATTTCAGTTTTCAGAGAGCCAAACGAAGCCATAACGATGAAAATTGCTGCTGCGACTGGCTCCTCTAAACCCAAAAACCAACGAGTATTGCCGGATCCTAAGAGACCAGGAGCGATGAGTTTGTAATGCGTATGATTTCAAAAAGAATAAGGGTTAACCTAGGAATGGCAATGGGTCAGGTCCGTAGGTTGGGTCCAGGTCAAGTAATTGATCTCGGGTCGCGGGTCGGGACAGGTCGACTCATTGGGCATGCAATTTATATTAAAAACATTAGCAATATTCGTTATTTTTATTATAAGAATAAGAAAACAAACAATATTATGACAAATGTAGTTAAATTAATGGAGAAATTGAGGTTTCACTAATTTACAACTTTCTTATAGCTAAAAATATGATGCAATAAAAGGAAAATTCTAAGTAATTTGACTAAGATTACATGTAATTTAGACAAGAACGGGTCGAGAATGGGGCGGGTCAGGGCAGGTCGGGTCGATGAGACTACCCATGCCCGCCCCGCCCCGCCTACAGGGCGGGTCAGACCCGTCCCAAAACAGGTCAAACAGGTCGGGTAAAACGGGTCAGGTCGAAATTGCCATCCCTAGGTTAACCTCTCTACTATTATCATTTGCCCGTTAATAAACGTACCTGGTACCTCTATTAATTTTTTGCACGAATATACCCTTTTAATGTTAAAACATAACAATTATATCCTTATGTTAAAGGGTTGTTAAATAAACTGTAAAATAACCTTATTGTCCCTCATTAATTCATAATTTTGGTTTAATTAATTTTTATCCTTAAATCAATTTAATAATAATCAAAACCTACGCCACTATAGACGACTCTTCGAAATCAGCGTTGCCTCCTCCAGTTTACCCCCAACTTAGCGACTCCCCTATAGCATAGAAAAATCCTCCTCTTTAGTCTTTACCCCAACTCGCCCTTCCGCAACTGAGAAACAAACCCAAAACTGTTGTGATCGAGTAGGCATTTGTGCTACATTGAGACGTTGGTCATTGTCATCAGTGGGTGACATTAATTGTTCTCTATTTTCTTTTAGGCATCCATGGATCTCGTTTGGCTTGTTTACTTGTTTGTTTTTTGTTTTGGATCCGCACAAAGAAAGGGAAGAAGAAGATGTATAATGCCAGAGATACTTTGGGTTTGGATGTGAGATGACGAGGAGAAGGTGAACATGCTGGAAGGTTGGTTTGTTTTCTTATAGATAGGCGGTTGATTTCTCTGGTGGAAAGTCGTCGAGTCGGGAACTAGAGAAAGAAGAAACGTCTGCCGAAAAAGAGGCGTTCCTAGATTTTGATTACTAATAATTAAATTGGTTTAGGAATAAACATTAATTAAATCGAAATTAGTAGTTATTGAGGGGCAATAAGGTCATTTTACAACCCAGGCCTTTTAACAGAAAATTGTATGGAAGGGTACAATCGTTACATTTTAATATTAGAAGGGTATGTTCGTGCAAAAAATTAATAGAGGGGTACGTTTGTTAATTGGTAATAATAGAGGGGTAGGAAATGCTATTAACCCAATAATAATAATAATCAATTTGTTCGTGCAAAAAATTAATAGAGGGGTACGTTTGTTAATTGGTAATAATAGAGGAGTATGAAATGCTATTAACCCAAAGAATAATAATAATAATTACCAATTTGTTTTGTTGCTAAGGTTTAGCAAGTGAATTGGTTGACCAGTAGTAGGTTAACCATATATAAAATATAAGACAATTTACTTATAATCCATATTTATATTTATATAAAATTTCAAATTCAAATGAAATTACAAATACTTATATTTAAATACGACATTTAATGTCAATATCTAAACATTTATATTAGTTAAATTCATTTAAACAATGTCATTTTACTTAGAGATCGTAATCTGATCGTGTCGGTCATATCAGTGTTGTTCACGCTGATTTCATGATGGTAACTCTTAAATCAGGTTCAACCGATCGACAATCAACCGGAGCCACAACCATTATAATAACACTAGAACTGCGAAACTTTAAAACAGGTGTAACATCGGTTATAGTATTCAATATGACACTTTTTTTTGGAATTCTAGTTTCCATTAATTTATTTTATTAGTGTTAAATCAGTATCGATCAAAAAACTGGGTGGAATACCACCAATATGAAATGGTAGTCAAAGTCTGTCAAAAACTCAAAATAAAAAAATACCGCTCAAAACCGGAAAAACCAGGTGTCCAACCGATATGTCCAATTTTCTTCCTCTAAAAAATTACATTGTTTTAGTGAATTTAGTTAACAAAAAATTGTATTTAAAATATGAGTATTTGTCATAATGTTTGTAATATATTTTATTTAAATATAGATGTTGATGTTATTTGTTGGATTCAAGTATAAACGTTTCGATAATGATCATAAACATTGTATTTAAATATGGATGTAAATTGAAGGGAGATTGTCTTGAGATAGATTTTATATATGCATAATTCATTTGCCTTTAATAGTTTCCTTCTTTCTCTACATATTTTGTTAAAACTAACATAAGTTGTTTGTACCCTAATTAGATCATTACACTTACTAAATCGGAGTAACGTTATAAACCGGTTTGACAACCTTTGTGCTAACAAAAAAATTGATAACCCAAATTTTTTCATGTCTCCTGAGAAAATTATCGATGTCGTGTCATAATCGAATCGAGAGGGAGAGAGGGAGGGATATAGAGAGAGAGAGCCAAACTGTGAGGTGGAGATAGTCAAATAGAGAGGGAGGGAGGAAAAAAGATTTTTCGTGGCGAGAGGGAGGATGGAGGCGGGCAATGGGGAAGCAAACGGAAGATGGACGTGGGTGGTGATTTTAGATTATGTTTAGGTTTTCTAATTCCCTATAAGTTGTTATATGTGTAAGGTGAACTATTGTATGTTAATAAAAAAATTGATAATTAATATGCATATGAATTACTCAACTGGTCATAGGCCTGGGTTACAATATGCTAAAAGAGTGGGAAAAGAAAGACATTGGTTCTTTGGGTCCAGATCTCTTCCTCCTCCCATCTACAAAGCATATGGGCCATTAGGTGAGCCGGATTGTTGCATTGGTGGCCCACATAGTTGAAAGTGATTGATCCAATTTGCCTTGCTAGCTGAGACATCTCCCAACTTATGCCTCCAATCTTCAACACATTTTTCTCTTATGTTTCCACCTTCTATACCAAACAAACAGTCCGTTTCCACCACTCCGAGTAGGAAATAATGGCGTCGAGCTATCTCGATCCCAAATCTCATTGCATGAGCTTCTGCCATCTCCGGCGGCCATTGTCGTCGAGCTCTTCTTACCGCAATCAAACAAAATTCTCCTTTCTAGTCTCGAATTACCACTCCGTAACATGTTCCTTGGCCAGAGAGTACCGCGACGTCCACATTGATTTTGAAGATCCTAGCCGCTTGTGGTCGCCAAGTCATGGATTGTACTTTCTGGTAGGATTTGGTAGCTATTTGATTTTTTTTTTTGTACTCTGTGTGCCAATCGATTGCCCTTGCGATGATCTCATTCTCTTCTTTTTTTCGTTATGTTCCACATTTGCGAGTTTCACTCATCCTAATGAACCAAAGAGCTAGCTACCTCCAGCAACTCAATTGCGTCTTCAGATTCTTGCTCCTACAATTCACAAGATCATTCCTCACAAGGATTCCCCTGCACCTTTCTCGAATAGGGATTTGATCTAGGTAGGTTGCTAGACTCTTCTTGTCCAAACGCAATCCTAAAAAATATGTAGTTGGGTTTCTGTCAATCCACAAAATGGGCACCCTTCACTACCTCTAGTTGTTCTAGCTGAGATGTTGCCTCATGTTGGCAGTATGTTGTGCACCCTCGAACCTTAGGGTGGTCTTCAGACTCCAAATCTACTCCAATTTACTGGGATGTATCTCTCTCCCACTGCATCGTCTCTACTAGTTTGCCAAGAAAAATTGGCACTTTTTGACTATGTACTTCCCTGTCTTCTCAAGTGTCCAAACCCTAACTTCTTCCTGTTGTAGTCTTGGAATTGGTACTCATTATTCAGCGTCGATCAGATGGCTCAAAATGTGACTGTACTACATCCTGCCTCCAACTTCTTGTCTGAAAATCAATCAGGTCTGACACTTTTAGGGGAGGATTATATGTAGCTGGGCTATCTCTAATACAATGGTTCCCCTCGTCCATTAGCCATTTATCAAACCATATCTGGATCTTTGTACCATTGCTTAGCTTCCATCTTAGCTCTGCAACAACCGACTCCTTAGCTTCCATTATGCTCCTCCAAGCATAACTAGGATTATGAGGAATCTGTGCTTCTAACACATCATTATTTGGGTAGTATCTAGCCTTTAGTACATGTCCTACCAATGATGAGTGTATTCTTAGATGGTTCCACACCTGCTTACCCAACAGGGTCAAGTTGAAACCTTCCCATTCCATAAATCCCGTTCCACTCTCTTTCTTGGTTCTGCATATATCTTACCAACTTTTTCAATGGGTTACTCACTCTAGCTGCTTTTGACCTCACCATAAATTGGCCAGGATTCTCTGTATTCTAGTATCCCTAAAGGAATTTTAAATATCAACATAACATATGTGGCATGTCCTGTGCTACTGATTTAATCAACACCTCTTTGGCTGCACTAGAAAGAAGACATTTCCAAAGTTTGACAATGCTTTTGATTCTGTCGACAATGTAGGTGAAAATCTATCTCTTTTCCCTGCCTATTATAGTCGGCAAGCCTAGTACTTTGCATGAAAATCCACCTGTTTCATCCCTATAATCCTAGTCGGTTCTCATCTTCTTGATTTAGGCAAATTAGGCGAGAAGGATAACTCAGACTTTGAAAGATTTACCTGCTTACCTGTTTCCTGTTCATAAGTAGATAGAATTTCTTTTAATTTCGTACAAGTTGTCAGGGTTGCACGAATGAAAATATACTATCATCCGCAAATAGTAGATGAGACACATATGAAGCATTCCCCACAATCCTAATCCCTTATATCTATCCTTCTTATTCTGCTTTCGATGTAAGAGCAGATAACCCTTCAGCTACTATAAGAAAAAAGATAGGCGGATATGCGGTCCCCCTGTATGCGTACTTGACTCGCTCCGACCATCACAATAAAATCCCACCTAAGGCCCAAGTATAAACCTTAGATGGGTGCAATATAGCGCAAGTATGTTTAAATATTAACTAGGCCGGCCCATGTACCCATACTTTGATTGTTTGAAACATTATCTAGCGAATGTTGTTTGTTGAAATCTCTACAATCTACTATTTAAAAGCAAGACTTGAAAAGTAAAAGGGTGGAAACTCTTGGTGAGAAGCTTCACTCGGGTGTTGCTTCCCTCTAACTAACTACCATGAACAGTGGATCGAATGAACCGGTGTGTGACAAGGCAATTATGACCCATAGGAGGTGCAACAATGGTTAGAAAACATCCTCTCAATTGCTAGGCCAAGGGAACATTAGAGGCTACAATTGTAGCCCTCTTGGCACAAGCAATGAGGGTTGACTTACCTTCTCCCTCAAACCAAGGCTTGGACGGTATAATCACAATTAACCGAGGTGTCTAATTCAAGTTAGAGGTTTGCCCTTTAATAACCTAGTTAGGAGGCATGGAATGCCTAAGAAAGCCCAGCTCAATGAGAGCCTCTTAAAATAAGGGGGCTTCTCTCTAAACTAGGTTACAATAGCACAATAGATTGATAGGGGGTTACGGTCGAGTTGTGGGTCGGGTTAGTCGGGTCGGGTTCTGTTTTGACACCTATAGTGTTATCACCCTATCCCCTCCCACTCACATGTCACCCACAAGTAAAAAAAAGGCATAGAAATTAAAAGGACCCCTCAAAAGGGCGTGCATGCCATGCCAGGCATGGAAAGGAATGAGAAGATCCTGCGTAGGGGTGAGCATACGGTTCGGTAAAATCGAACCTAACCGAACCGAATATAAACCGAACCGAAACCGAATTAATGTTATTCGGTTCGGAATTCGGAAGAGAAAAGGGCATATTTCGGAAATCAGGGTCCTTTCGACCGAACCGAATTTCCGAATTCCGAACCGAAAAACCGAATTATTATAATTGCAAGCTTTAAATGGTGGATTTTTATGTTTTACTTATTATGAGACTTAAATATTTGAATCATGTTAGTGTTTTATGACTTATGTGTTGAAATGTTTGATTTTATCATTGATGATGCATATTTATTGTTCACATTATGGGTGAAAAATAATTTAAAAAAGAGAAGATACAAGCTTACCTCACTATTTCGGTTTTGTATGGAAAACCGAACCGAACCGAATTATAATTCGGTTCGAATTTAGTTTGAGGTTTGCTAGAATTCGGGGACCCGATATGCATAATTTCGGTTCGGTTTGAACCGAACCGACCGAATGCCCACCCCTAATCCTGAGCGTGTGGCTCAATATCACTGTCTGATGAGTGTGTTGAAAGGGAAAGTGGGGGACTGAAATTTTCACTTTTTATCTGTATTCGAGCCGAATTTAGGTACCAAAATTCTCACCTTTTACGGGTCGTTTGTTTCGTGGATTTTAAAAATGAAAATTTTGGTAAAACTTTGTATAACCATGGATATATGAGAGTTTTAGGTTCATCATGGACTTGAAAATACCATCTTTTGTTTCACATTATGGAATTGGTTAATTAAATTTGTATGTATGAAGTGAAATTTACCTTTATTGCGCTCATTGGTATGAGAATGGAAATGAAATAAGAGGGCAGTTTGGTATTAAATTATAGACTTCAAAGTCCATGATCACTTCCCTAAATAGGTGGAACTTTGAAGTCCGTGAGGTCCACGGATTTGAGCCCTTAAAATTCTTGGGACCCACGGATTTGTTGCCCCTAAATATATGAAGCAAACAATGGATTTTGGACAAAGTCCATGATGAATCCATCACAAAATCCATCAAGCAAACAACCCCTTAAATCTTTGGCATTTTGGAACTCTTTATTAGAGATAAATAAATTATTTTATTTGTCTTTCTATTTTTCCAATATCTCTTCTATTCCTATTCTTCGGGGAAGTGCCTTCATGTGACTCTTTTAGTTGTTAGCATTCTGTAGCAACTCGTGTATATTAGGAGAAGATTAACTCAATGTAAATCATGTTAGTTATCAATATCAAATCTGTTAGCGATACATCTTTCATGGTATCAGAGCCAGCAACGCTCAGCTAGCCCCGATCCATCTATTCTTCCTTCTCTCTCGTTTACCTGTGATCATCTTATTCCTTCCGCAACATCATGTCTGACAATAACTCCACTGTGACTAAAGAGGCAATCATCACCTTCAACCCTGCAGCTCAACTTCCTCAGAAGCTCACATCTACCAACTTCAATTCTTGGAGGTCTCAATTGGAAACCCTTCTCATGGGTCTTGATATCATCCACTTCATTGACGGTATCGGCGTCGCACCCGCAACCATCGTTTCTGTCAACAATGTCACGAGCCCTAACCTATTGTATCGTTGGTGGTTTAGACAAGATAAGCTTATTCTTCATGCCCTTCGCTGCTCTATTTCCGAATCTCTGTATTCTTATGTATCTGCCGCTGTAACTTCTCGTGAGGCGTGGTTGATCCTTGAGAAATTGTATGCTTGTCGCTCTCAATCTCGTATTATTAATCTGAAGGGTAAATTGGCTCGTACAAGCAAAGGCAACTGTGATATTGTCACCTATGTCAATGATCTGAAGCTCATTGCAATCGAGCTTGCACTGGTTGATGCTCCAGTGTCTGATTTAGATATGGTTGTCCACTGTCTTCGCGGGCTTGGAGATGATTACAATCAATTTGCGGCGACGATCCGTGCCAGAGGCACCACAGTCACCATCGAAGAACTTTTGGACTCCCTCATTGAGTACGAGGCTAACCTCAAAGAGCAGGCTCGCCTCTCCACAGTGTCGACGACTTTCTATTCCCATGGTGCGCCTCGTCATGGTGGGAATGTGGCCTCCTTCAGCAGCGGCTGCGTGGCTCTTCCACTCCCGCTCATCCTCAACAATGCCACCAGCAGTAGGTTTTTGGTGTGGATTCACACTCTTCGCAGGCCCACCTGCCTCATTATTCAGGCAGCCCACTTTCCCCTCAGGAGCCCATCCGCCTAAGCAAAGCCCAAGTTGTATGTCAGTATTGTAAGAAGCCCGGACATTCAGTTTGTCAATGCTTCACATTATTCCCTCGGGCCCACCAGTCTTTTATTCAAGCCCGTCAGGCCCAAGCACACCATACAGCCCCTGCTTTGGGCACTTCTTCTTTCGGGTCTTGGCTTATGGACTCAGCAGCATCTCATCATGTGACATCTAATTTAGGCAATCTATCTCTATATTTTGATTATACCAGCCCGGGTGAGATATTTGTTGGGCATGGCACAGGTTTGGCAATATCCCATATTGGTTCCTCTACTATTTCTATTGGTGCTCATCACTTTAATTTAAGTGACATCTTATATGTTTCAAATATCAAGCGACGTCTTATTTCCGTCGCCAAATTGCGTCAAACTAATCATGTCTCTGTGAGATTTTTTACCACTCATTTTCTTGTGAAGGATCTTCGCACGCGGGTGCACTTGCTGAAGAGGGAAAACAACGGTGATGTTTATGAATTACCTCGAGTTGTGGAAAAGGTTAAAATCGCCCTGGTCACCACTCTAACGTCAGCCGCTTCCTGGCAAGCTCGACTCAGTCACCCTTCGCATCAATCTCTCACAACTCTCATTCGGTCGTACTCTCTTCCAGTTTTGTCATCACTAGCTCTTTCTTCTTGTGATGCTTGTCTTTCTAATAAAAGCCATAAACTGCCATTTTTCAGTCTCTTGTCTTTCTTTTTTTTTTTTTGACAAAAGATATTATGTATTGATAATAAAAGGATAGTTACACCCTGGAGTTCAGTCAGGCCTGAAAATCAAAGCTACGATCCATGATCGGGTACAAAGAGAGGGCAGTCTCTTGTCTTTCTAGTACTCGACCATTTGATCTTTTGTATACTGATGTTTGCGGCCATGCTCATGTTCCTTCTATTGATGGTTTTTGCTATTACTTGGTTATTATTGATCATTTTACTCGTTATACCTGGTATTATCCATTGCGCAAAAAATCTTATGTTCTCCGGGTTTTTCTCGACTTTTCGCAAAATGGTTGAGAATTATTTTACTACAACTATCCGTCGCCTCTACACGGATGGTGGAGGTGAATTCCAAAAATTGCATTCTGATCTTATTAACCATGGCATCACTCATCTTCTTACTCCTCCTCATACTCCTCAACATAGTGGTCTGGCTGAAAGAAAACATCGTCATCTCGTTGAAACGGGTATCACTTTGCTCCATCATGCTAAGCTCCCTACTTCTTTTTGGCCCTTTGCTTTCTCCACTACTATCTATCTTATTAATCGCCTGCCTTCCTCTGCCTTACGTGGTAAAACTCTCTGCACTCTCCTCTTCAGCTTGCCTCCTAACTATCACAAACTTCGAGTTTTTGGTTGTTTATGCTATCCTTGACTTCGTCCTTATTCTTCTCACAAGCTCAATCCCCGGTCTCGTCCATGTCTCTTTCTGGGTTATTGTCCTCAACGCAGTGCCTATCGTTGTTTTAATCCCACCACTCACCGCCTTTTTCTGTCCCGTCAAGTTGTCTTTGTTGAGAATGAATTTCTAGGTTGTCTCCCTACCACTTCGAGCGAGCCGCCACAACTAGCCTCTTGGCTACTCGACCAGTCGCCTACCATTTCCCTTTTGCCGAGCTGCTATGCTCCCGTTTCCACCAGTGGGCTTCCACCGGCCCATTCCTCCTCAACGCAAGATGCTTCCCCAGTGCAAGATGCCTCTCTTTCGGGCCCTTCCCATTCGCCCACTCCTGGTGGGCTAGTTACTCCACCATCTGGGCCACCTCTCCCTTCTGGTCCCCCGCCACCCATCATCAGGTCTCTTCCCATGCAAACTCGGGCTCATAGGGGTATTTTACGGCCCAAGAAACGACTATTTACTGCCCAACTCCAACCTGGGCCGCCACCTCTTCATCCCCACACTATCAAGGAGGCTCTCTAATACAATGAATGGTCCACTGACCTCTCGGCAGAAAATGAAGCTTTATTGGTCAATCACACATGGGATCTCGTGCCCCACCTGCCTCATTATAATGTTCTTGGGAACCGTTAGGTCTATCATGTCAAGCATCATTCTGATGGCTCTATTTCTCGGTTTAAGACTCGCCTTGTTGCCAAGGGATTTCATCAGCGTCCCCGGCTCGACTTCACCGACACATTCAGTCCCGTTGTCAAACCTATCACCATTCGCACTGTCTTTACGTTGGCTCTCTCTCACAACTGGCCTATTGCCCAGTTTGATGTTAACAATGCTTTTCTACAGGGGCCTTTACAAGAAGAGGTTTATATGGAGCAACCCCCCGGTTTTGTCGATCCCACTCGTCCTCATCATGTATGGCACCTCCGGCGTGCTATTTATGGACTTCGTCAGGCGCCTCGTGCTTGGTATACTACTTTGAGTACTTTTCTTCACGACCTTGGCTTCATGAAGACACATTATGATGCCTCTCTCTTTGTGTATTCTCGCGGCAACGATTTGCTCTACTTCCTGGTGTATGTTGATGATTTACTGCTCACCGGCAACAATCCCGCTCTCCTCTTCATATTTCAGTAGGCTCTCTCTAGTTGTTTCTCTCTCAAAGCACTTGGTGATGTAAACTATTTCTTGGGCATTGAGGTTATTCCTGCTTCTCTGGCTATATTCTGTCTCAGCATTAGTACATGGTCGACCTGCTCCGCCGCTTTCTCATGACTGACTCCAAGGCTGTCGATACTCCCTTGGTCTCCTCAACCACTCTCACTCTTAAGGATGGTATGATGCAATCCTAGAAGGATGGCCTGATCAGAATGCACGCAACTTCTCAATTCAGCGACGAAATTGAATCAAAACTAAAGGAAAAACAAACAGGGGCAGATTTGGTTATGGTTTGATGGTCACTTTCGTGCAACCTCACACAAGGGAGGAGGCTCAAAAGAGATAGGTAGACGCTCGTTCACGAACAATGTGGGTAATTGCTCGATAGAATCCCTCGAATTGCTCAGGATCCTCTCTCACGAAGCAAAACTTAATGAATCAAGACTCAAATTGAATTCAATCTCTTGGTAATCTCTCTTACAATACAATGTCCAGCCTTTAAATAATACCCAGCTACGTTTATCTACTCATCATAAGGAAATCCTAATTAGCTTATAATACGAACAGAAACTCCAAACAAACAAGGAAACTGAATCTGAATCAAACAAGGAAAGAAACTTTGTTTTTACAACACATAAATTTGTGACTTCGTACTCACTTTGAGACCTTGGTTCGAAGCCTTCTAGGTATCTCTTCATTCAGCCAATGTCTTCCCTTTGTAGACAAGAATACCCACTTTCGTGTGATAGAAACCCCTTGAACCAACTCTGCTCCATGCTCCCTGAATTGAGCTCCAACGTAGGCTTCATAATCACTTTTCCAGACTTAGCTATTTCCTGGCAGTTTTCCAGTATTGGCATAGCCTTTTGATCAACTTTGAAAATGGCCTTCTGAAGTTCCTCTCGAGCTTCCAAGCATACTCTCGTGTAGAAAAACACCCCATCTTCAATACGAGCCACTAAACTCGAATTTCCAGTGAACCAATTGTAAGGAACAAGTTCCCAAAGTAGGCATCCCAACCCGGCTTCTATACTTAGCCAAAATTGCTTTCTTCTTTTCCAAACCATTGTTACTTCTTGGCCAAGCAAAACATACTCCTGAATCCTGCAAACTGGGATTCATCATGGTAGTCCTCCGACGGATGCGACCCGTTTTCGTCAAGTTATTGGTGCTCTCCATTATCTTCTCTACATTCATCCTGACCTTGCCTTCTCCGTCAACAAGCTTTCCAAGTAAATGCATGCCCAGACCGCTTACATGGGTAGTGCGTCAAGCGGCTACTACGCTATATCTCTGGTACTCTCACGTATGGCCTAACCATTTGTCGGACATCTCGCTCCATCTCTTTGTCTGCCTTTGCTGACTTCGATTGGGCAGGGAACCTTGACGACCGCTCCTACACTACTGGGTATCTTGTCTATCTTGGTACTACTCTCATCTCATGGCGTTCTCAAACAAACAACGCACATTTGCTCGCTCTAGTGCCGAGGCCGAGTACCGGGCCATTGCCAGTGTCATTGCGAAGCTGGAATGGGTCCAAAATCTTCTTCTTGAGCTGCGTCATCCATTACCTGCTCCACCCACAATCTTCTCAGACAACCTTGGTGCCACTTACTTTAGCGCCAATCCCGTTTTTCACTCTCGCATGAAACATCTGGCTCTGGATTATCACTTTGTTCGGCAACTCGTTCAGGATGGTCGACTCCGTGTGGCCTACATTCCCACTTCTCATCAGTTGGCTGACGCTCTCACCAAGTCGCTTCCCTCGACTCGGTTTCTACTTCTTCGATCCAAGATCGGCGTCGTTGATACCTCCTCCATCTTGCGGGAGGCGTCCGCGTATTAGAGATAAATAAATTATTTTATTTGTCTTTCTATTTTCCCACTCTCTCTTTTGTTCCTATTCTTTGGGGAAGTGCCTTCGTGGGACTCTTTTAGTTGCTAGCATTCCGTAGCAACTCATGTGTATTAGGAGAAGATTAACTCAATGTAAATCATGTTAGTTATTAATACCAAATCTGTTAGTGATACATCTTTCACTCTTGTTGGAGGTGATTATTTGGAACTTATGATTTTTTCATGTTATTGTTGAAAATGTTCTAAGGAATGTAGAGGAAGTGGTAGCGTAATTAGCCGTTACTATAATACTTTTATAATAAGTGTTAGTATCTATCTCCTCTCGTAGTTAGAGGCACCGGATCAGGACTCTCCTTATGCACGAAGAATGGTTTGGGAGAAGAAGAAGTGACGCATGCTAAATTAGGTATCGTTGCTAACTTCAATCGCGGGCAAAGAGGTCGTGCAATGGCCAGGAGTCGTGTACTCCAACCAACAACATTGGAAATTTTAAGTTGATCGCTCAGCCAACTCCGGCACCACCTGAGCAACCAGTGGACCATCCACAGCACCACCCGCGGCGGCTGGCCACCCGCAAACCCCATCCTGCGGTGACATCAGTTGAGGTGGCGCAAGGCAATGGAAGGAGTCCAGTGCTGTCCTAGCAAATCAAACATGGCGTTTTGAGAAGCAGCTCAAGCCATAAATACAAGACCAAGAGTTCATGCGGATACAGATAGGACGATCTCAGGAGTGCCATGCTGGTAAAGGGTTGGTTCATCAACTTAAAAGAGAGACGAGGATATGAACTAATGGGACTCTTTTTTGGTCCATTCAGGATTAGAGAAGTGAGTCATAGGAACCAACTTCACAGCAATATTGTTACAGCCTATTACAGAGGTTGAAGATTTCGATAAGTTTTGTTACAAGGTTAAGATTCTCAGAATTCTATTGGCATAGATCCAACAGGCGACAGCTGTAGTTTGCTGCAGGCAGCCCCAATGGGTAATTCTGTGAATCTAGACACATCAAACATACATGGTAGCACAAGGAGGAGCTATGACAAACCAACGAAGGTCTCAAAAACACTTTCGATGAACGACGGATGGTCCAGTTTCATCATATTCTCCCTTAGTAACGTGCTGATTTTGAGGAAACACAACTTTGGCAAGTATAGCACCTCCCACCCATGCTGAAAACTCCGTCAGCTTGTCCGGCATATACTCTGGAGGCTGCAATCGCCACATAGAATAACAGTGCATACCAGATCAGAATTCGAAGGAGCTAAGATCTGTCTAACTAGATCAATAGCCACCTATAAATGTCCCTTAACTTCTGTTTTAATCAAACACATCCACAAAATCAACTTCATCCATAACATGTTTTGATGAGCATCGTTTTATTTGGCCAGCCAATATCAAATTAGTCATGATCCTCAAGGCCAAACCGGGAGAGTAGATAGAGAAGACTCACAGTTGCACATTTACAGACAAAAAAAGGAACAAAGATGGAAACTACGACAGTCACAAGCTAAGAAAAATTACTATGCACCAGCTCCATGGCATGATCTTTAAGAGAAATAGGCAGAAGGTACACCTCTGAAAAGATAGGCAGGAATAATTTTATCTCCAACAATAATAGAGCCTAGTAGTACCTTGACAAGTGAAGGACGAATAGCTGAAGAGCATAATCCAGCTTCTTTCTGAAATCTATCTTCGAATCCTGCAAAAGACCAACATTATAATTTCATCCGCAACTCCATACTAATGGTGTCTCTTCATCAAGCGAGCTGACTGAACAAACATCACACAGGCATCCATTCTGGGAAGAGATTGGGCATACCAAACTAGACACCACAACATGTATAAAATCCCTCTAATCCATCATTCATGGTAAGTAACAAATGTTGAGTCCAACGATTATGAAAATGTGACATATTAATCTTTCAGTGAGGTAAGAGAAACTATTGATGACAACTCTTATTCCTATCAAGGACACAAATCACCAATGTTCATAATACTCACGACGAGGTCAATGTATGCTTTTCATGAGAAATAAGAATGTGAATAACCAATTCCAGGATGAATCAGCCACTCACCAGGCATAGCAGTTATGCCACCACAAAGCACAGTATTTTCCAGAAGCTGCCGATGATTATCAGAAGAAACTGTTGAAATACAACGGACAAGTTGCTCAACAATTCCATGTGCCTCAAGCCCCAATATGACAGGTTGGAACAAAGCCTCGCCAATAGTATATCTTTCTTTTCCAATACTTATCACCTGAAAGAATAATAGCCACATAATTTAGAATCCTAATTTCTTTCCTTTTTCTTGTTTCTGTAGAATAAACAGAGCACCGTGTTTGTCAGAACATTATTCACATCCCATTTCTACGGCTATGAAAAACCAGTACAGAAACACAATCAAGGATTTTTTCGTGATAAGTTTACATTTGAAAAGCAACTCCAAATGAACTGCATTCATAATCAGAATGTCACAATGAAGAATGAACACTAAAAATGCCACCTTAAGTTGAATATAGCTCATTTTTCTATAATCATACCAGCAAGAGAAATCTAAGGGGAAATGCTTGGCTGCTTAGCTGTTAATGAAAATATGTCTTGACGTTCAATGAACATGTCAGTATTTTCTTTATTTTTTTGATTTGCTGTGTCAGCTTTATCTAGTGTAGGAAAAAAGGCAGACCTGGCCATCAGGAAGTGTATGCTGCTCTATCTCATTCGTTTCTTGTGTTTTCCTGTAAGCAAACTCATCTTCGGCACAACAAGAGTACTTTTCTTTAATTTTCTCAACATCAGAAATATTGAGATTAACCGTGGGATTCGACTTGGCCAATTCTTGAGCCAGTAACTTCGTCAAGTCAAGTCCCCCAATTTCAAACCTTTTGGAGGATATCTGCTGCACAGCACCTTCAAGTACAGGCGCAATATCTGGAAACGAAGGGGATCAGACATGTAGGACCAATCAATTAAAGCCAAACTGAATATATTGACTAAAAACGAGGATTAAAAAATGCAATATGGTTTATATACCTATTTTCCCATGACCAATGTCAACTGTGCATCCAGAGATACGCCCAACTGCATAGAGAGACAAGACTGCTTGTTCAGATGCATAGAATCCAGACACATTAAATGTTTCAAACATCAACTGGACCAATTGCTCTTTAACAGCCTGCAAAAAAAAGAAAGGGGTTCTCTTCAGATAAATATAGACCCAGAAGGACATTCTATGTTAAATACTAGACAGAGGCACACAATCTAAGATAGTGGCATACGAATCTTGATCAAATATCTACTTTAACTAATGTTTGAACATCTGCTACACCAACTGCTGATCTGAAAAAGAGACACCACCATTTTCCTCCAACCCTAACTGTACACCCAAAATTAGTTAACACTGAGCAACCTACTAACAAAGAAGTCTAATAAAACTTAAGAAGTTAGTTCATGTGTAGCAAACAAATTAATAAAAGAGATCGCTCTCTTTCAATAACTTTACATCTTCAGTTGAGATCCAAGAAAAAGGAATCTCAGCCAACTCAAGATCAGAGCTACACTGCTAAGACTCTCTTATTTCAATTGCATCTAGCAAAGATGCTACGACCTCATTTTTTTTATGACAACAGCAAGCCTCCAATGCTAGCAAGGATGCATCATATTCCAAGTTTTAGTATATAATGAAAGCTTCGGCTAACCTTTGGTGTGAAAAGCGGATCAGTAAACAAAACCTGCCCTTCATTTCCTTCTTCCCATTCAAGACCTGTGTACAGAACATATTGCAGCAAATCCTCCATAGCATCCCAATCTTTTATGCAACCTCGAACCACTGGGTCAACTGTAAAATCCTCAACTACTGGACTATCAGCTGCTGATCCTTCCTCGAGCATGCGCTTCATTTGCGTGGGAATTATCTGTTTAGACAAGAAAGAAGTTGGATTCCCTCTCCCAATATGCAACTCACTTGACCAAGGTGGTCATCTTCTGCTAGGGAACATTTCAACTTCATACTAGGAAAAAGAATTGCCTTCGGTCTCTCCTTCATTCAGGTTATCAGCTCCCAGAAAGGATATATAATCTACTTGGTTCACTTTATTGAAACATTCATACAAAATGACATTTTGATCACAAAATCAACTTATACATGACATAAAAGGAAAATTAAAAGTCGTAAATTCAATACATTCGGTAGTTTATTTAATACCCAAAGGACTAAGGACTACAGAGAGCACACTTGTTAGCGATTCAGAGCTAAAGGAAAAGGTAAAAATCACCGTGTGCTTATTTTCCCGCAATGTTTTCTCATGCAAAGAAGGCGAAAGGATGATAAAGACGCAGAAATGACAAACAAGCTAGTCATTTCTATGACACTGAGTTATAACTTACCCCATTGACAGAAAGAAAATAAAAAAGGACAAAATTCCGAACGGAAGGTAGAGCGAGGTGAATTACCATTGGTGGAGCTTGGTCCGGGACGGCGGTACCGGCTTTCAGGAGCTTGGATCCAGCGTCTATCACCACCGCCTCCATGGATGACGGAGAACCCAAAACCCTAGCTTCACAATGCTTATGAAATCGAGATTACGGGGTGAAAGTCCACAGCTCTGAGAGGTCGAGAGAATTCTGCTGCAAAGCCGTAACCAAGAAGCGGAAACTTCAATTAGCTGGTTTAAGCTCTCGCAGCGCAGAAGCTCCCAAACTCAGTCCACAGGCAGTCAAGCTCCGCTAGGTTATTTTATCTTTAGCGGGCTGCCCTCATTTCAAACTGCCACAAGTTTTTTGAGATATTTACAGCCGTTTCGGGTGAGACCTGCTCACATAGTGTTTGCAAGTAAAAATTAAATTGTACCAGATGGTTTACTTATTTATAAAGTCAAATCTAATTAAATCAATTAATATTGTTAATGTGGGCCTGATGGTATTAGGTTTAAAAGCCCAAACAATTAAGGGGTCTTTTGCTTGTTGGATTTGGGTCATGGATTTGGTACCTAAATCCCAAGTTTGATGGATTTAACACAAGTCCATTGTTTGTTGATGGGTGTCAAATCCGTGGGGTTCACGGATTTGGTCTTTAATTTGGGACCAAATCCGTGGACCCCACGGACTTGTAAATCCCACATATTTGTTTGGGATTTGTAAATCCATGATGGTTGTTAGTTGCTTATGTGACAAATCCATCGTAAATTCATTATCAATTCTATCATGCAAACACTAGACTTTTCAAATCCATAATACAATAAATCCCTCATGAATCCCTAGGTTTTTGTTGCACAAAACCTTCATTTTTCAAATCCAACAAGCAAACGACCCCTAAGTAGTATGGGAGTAGGAAATAGGAATGACAATGTGGCAGATTTGGGGTAGGTTCGGGGTAGGTTTCTTGGTACCCAAACTCGTCCCGTGACAGGTCGGGTTCAGGTCGGGTAATTTATCACGGGTGGCAGGTCGGGGCAGGTCGACCCAATGGGTATGCAATTTATATGAAAAATATTAGAAATATTCGTTATTTGTATTATAAGACCAAGAAAACAAACAATATTATGATAAATGTAGTTAAATTATTGGAGAAATTGAGGTTTTCATTAATTTACAACTTTATTATAGCTAAAGTATGATGTAATAAAAGGAAAGTCCTAAGTAATTTGACTAAAGTTACATGTAATTTAGGCACGAACGGGTCGAGAATGGGGCGGGTCAAGGCAGGTCGAGTCGATGAGAGTACCCATGCCCGCCCCGCCCCAAAACAGGCTAAACAGGTCGGGTAAAACGGGTCAGGTCGAAATTGTCATCCTTATATGGGAGCATGAACATGAGTGGACGGCGTCATGCTTCTCGTCGAAGGGTCATGCCACGAGATCACGACTCACTCATGGTCACAACTCACAAGACCGCGTGCCAAAGAAATAGACTAAGTCTGGAGAAGTCTATAGTCGCAAGACAAGAGGGTCATGGGCACGCATGACTAAGAAGTTCATAGCCATGTAGCGAGAGGGTCATTGGCGTGAGACATAATTCCATGGTTGCGAATGGGACGTCCATGGTCGTGTAGTAAGAGGTCATGCCGCGAGATCATGTCTCATAGCCACGAGGTTGTATGCCCAAAAATATACTAAGCTCTGAGAAAGGTCAGGCCATGAGATCATGTCTCGTGACCATGTGGTCGTGAGAAGACTTCGACTTCAACAAGAGAAATGTACCTAGGCTGTTGAGGGAGCAACTTTCAATCATCCGATATTTGAAGACACGTCAACCACATTCATTAAAGATGAGAGAAATTCTTTGTAGCAGTTATAAGGTAAATGGTTCTCCAAGGCATTTACCATTACATGCCTATAATAAAGAGATGTGGTCGCCTTAGACAATGATTCCCAAAAACATAAAACCGATGCTTACATCAAGTTTTATCACTTTCTCTGCAAGTATCCATATTCATAGTTTGGAGCTCTTAGTGAAACTCTATATGAGTATAAGTAATTTTATGAAGTATTATACAAAAAAAAAATTAATCAAACACCCCTTGTTTGAACTGTGTTTAAATAGGTGTAAATCGTGTCTTAGAAATCGATGTCCAAAGAAGTCAAGACACACTTAATTCAACTCAACACGGGTTTGGAAAAAAATTGGCACGCCTAGTGGGACCATGTGTTGACTTGATTACTCCACAACATAGGCAACAAAAGGACAATCTTCTACAAGTCTTTGTGGAGGAGGATCAAGTGACCAGCTTCAAAGTCGGCCAAATGGATGTTGTGCCGAAAACAATGGTGGGATGGGGGCTTTGCCGACATTGATGACAAGTCTAGATGAAGGAAAGATAGTCACATCACTCCATCGATCCATGAAGGAGGTTGTCGTTGAACTTGATCAAGGTACCTAACATGTAAACCTCCATTTTACTTCGCTCATTGAATGCCAAGATTCACTTATTTCTTTGATGGATAAGTGTGTATATAAGTGTCGAAGGTTAGGTTGCTAAGACCCAATTTGTTAGCATGGTGCGAACACTAGTTTCGGACAATAAGAATATTTCATTTTGACGACTTTTTTATTCCAAGGGATCGACCACTTATGTGAAGTTTATAAATCGATGCTCACTCACTCTAACACTAGCAATGACAAGCGTACCAACGCAAGACTTGTAGTAAAGTGACTTTAGTCATATTCCAAGAGAACTTAGATGTATTATTACTTCTCTCTAAACTACTATTCAATCTAGCGGAAAGGTTGGTTACAAACTAACTAACCTAACTAAGGAAAACAACCAACTAAGTAGTTGGGAGGTCGGTAGAGATTAGACTGTTTCCTAGGATTGAATCCTTCTAGTAGTATGATAGGTAGTTGATTTGTGGAAGCCCTAGTCCGACTTGCCTATCTTTATGTTGTGAGTAGTCGTCTAATCTCGTGGTTGATGCGATGGCTATGACTCACAACCACACTTCGAAGCCCTTGACTAGATCAATGGTCATGCACCTAACTAGGTACATGGAGCTTTAGGGTTAGACTCTAAATCAAAAATCATCCCTATGCAAATGGAACTTCGACCCCTCTGTCACACAATCCAAATCCCACAATATTTGATGGGTGTTCTAGCCTAACTTAGGGGGATGGCCACCTCAACCTAAGTCAAGAACAATTCAATAGCCACCTCTACTGAAGCATGAAAATAACATGATTAAACATCAAATAAACATAGATAGATAAGAATCAAGGCTAGGTTTACATTCAATCAATAATACCTAGCTACATACTACAATTCATCTCCCCCAAACAATCATAGGGTTTCAATTAATAGAGAGAAAGGAAATACAAACTATAGAGAGAGGACAAGCTTGAAGTCATCTTCTTCACCTTACCCTTCTCCTTGGTTCTTGGATATATTGTTCCTTCGTTAGCTCCTCCAACGTGCTTTATCTCACTAAAAACTACCCAAAACCTGTTTCCTCACTCTAGGTTGGCTCTCCCTCTTCATTTGAAGAAAATGGTCTATTTATGGAGGTTGTGGTGTACATCACGGTCTCAGGGCATGACCCGCACTTGACAAACGACATGCATGAAGTCGCGACCGTGATCTTACTCGCGGTTGGGGTCCTCCTTGGTCGTCAGTCTAGGCGTGCAACTTTTTGTCCATTTCTATGTTGGAAGGTGCATCACGGCCTGGAGGTCACAACCATGACATGTGTAATTTCTCCCTTCCTTGCTCATATGTGATGCAAACATGCTCGGATTCTCCCGAAAATTTACCCTCAATTGATCATAGATGAGTTTAAGACCTGGAATATCATCACAAACACAAAGCAATCATAAAATACAATGAAGTGGGGGTAATTTACCCACGAAAACCCTTCATTGCAACCTAACTCATGATCAATGTATAGAAACGCATATTGACATAAACTAGCTTGCAATGTGGCCGAGCCACGCTGATTTAGCACAAAAATTCCTAGATAATAGAGATTAATAACACCGATTTAGGTGTTACCAAATGTCCCTACACTTTAGCTTTTGCTTGTCCAGTCAAGCATACAAATAAACCATGCAATCCGAGGCATCTAAATCCCGTCCACACTTGATATGAATCATCGAATGTGGAACACAAGTGACTAGGGGGGTCTCGACCATCCATAGTCACATTTAACCTACTCGGAACATCCTCGAAAGAATTTCATCGAGTGAAAAGGGGTAGGCGCAAGGCATAAATCAAGACTCCTAGTTGTAGGTAAGAAGGGTGAATGCTCTTGATGATTCTATTCTACACTTTCATCATAACCGTCTTTTTGGTTTTTCTTTCTTTGGGTGTGTAGCATCTTGATTATTTTTTTCGGTTTCAAACCAATCAAGTAGGGGAGTCATTTTTTGCGCTCTTTCCCCCTACCTATACCTCGGCACATGGAGGACCACACCATGAGGATTGACTGACCTTCAAGCACTAGCGATCTGAAACTAAGTGGGGTCCCATGTGAATCACCCTCTAATTGGCATGAATAGGAGTAGTTGTTTTTGCATTGATACTACTACGGATTCTTTGAAAACATCCGAAAGATGCCTCACACGTAAACCTTTGAAGAACAAGCTACAAACCACTTTGTTTTGCGTAAAAATTGGGTTGTGAGAAAGCACGTAACTGAGCATCATCCAATCCACCTACAACTAGGAATCAAGCTTCACATTCAAAAAAAACTACCACACATTCACTAGTGAACATCCAACATAAGGAAACATCAAGAAGCCAAATTAACTACTTCAATTCGAAACTCCCCACGTACTACACTCTCCTCTACATTGGTTGAGATCGTAGGAAAGCAAGATTCATGATTCAAAGAAATTAATCGTATTGTAGCCAACTTGGAGCCTCAAATTTGGGGGGAAAATTGAGCATGCATACAAGACTCCAAATGGTCAAATCATGCTAAAACACCATCCACAATCACTCAAAAAGCACGCTTTCTCCCTCAATCATTCATAACATGCATAACACAAGAGAGAAAATTTGAAAACATACATTCGAGACAAACATTCATGCAACACCCCCTCCCTCCACACACACTTTTAAGAACCACATTGTCCTCAATGTGACCACAAGTGAAGGATAGCGGAACTATGTTACCGAAATGACTATGTCAAGTTTTTTCTCATATCATAGTCAGATGAATAGTAGACATATATGTTTACAATGAGTAAAAAACGACAGTGAATACTAATCGATTTGTCGATGAAATAGTCGTTTAAGCCACTAAATGACTATGTCAAGTTGATTGTGGTAGATTTGAGGA